CTTCCCCCGGCCCATGCCTGCCAGACGTCTTTGCCGCAGATGGTGATACGTGGAGTTCAGATCGCGTCATTCAACCCTGGCCCCGTCATAGATTCGGCGCCCATCTGGTGCTGCTGGTGCCGCCGTCCCAGACTCAAGGCCCCAGCCCAGCAACGGGCCGTCAAACCTCGCCCGCCAGTGTTCCCCCGGCATGCGGCTTGCGAGTATGCGTGTTTCTCTCCCAGTCCTCCGTCTCGGCAAGATCCAGCCAGTAGCCTCGGCCGAAGGACACCATCAGCCGTCCCAGACGTCCCTTTCGGCCGTCGCCGTCGGGAAGATCCACGGCGAACGGCCCGTCATGCTCATCCACTCCAGGGCCTTCGAGAATCATCAGCTGCATGTACTTTTGCAACACCTGTCGAGCGAACGCCATGGCCACGACGCTGAAGTACACGCGGATCAGCGTGAAGCCAACGATCAGTAGCATGCTGGTCGCAGTCTCTTGCGGCACCACCTTGCCATGCATCTCCGTCTCCCGGCGCAGTCCATCCAGCCCTTCCACGACAAGACCGGGGAGGGAGGTCGACCCTCTTGGTGAGCCATCTCCGTCTGTCGCACTGCTGGCAAAGTACCACTCGAGGCCGAAGGCGGCTGTGTAGGCCCCGTTGAGGACCGTGTCGAGGATGTACAGCCATGCCAGCGCAAGGCACTCGAAGGGGCTTTGCTTCCTGATGTGCGGGATGAGGTAGACCAAAAGGCCCAGCACGCCAATCGAGTAAACGTAGGTCGAGAGCTGCAGAAGCGAGAGTTGGTAGCCGGTCAGGATTGCGAGCAGTCCGTATACGCCCGTCACTTTGTTGAATATGAGGGCCAGCGATATGAGTTCGGTCCCCGTCTGAAGGCTAATGACGCCGAAGAGGCTCTGTAGGGGGCGTGTCAGCACGTGCCGTCCGGGAGGAGAGGAGGATCATGGGAGACGCTCTGTCTCGAGGGATCTCGCCTCGGCCGTAAGTCGTACCTGGGGGCGGGATGTCCGCAGACATAGCCTCGTGAACTTGGACATTGCGGCTGCGCGCGACACCGTGGGCGTCTCGTTGATCCAGCAAAGGGCGTCGCGAGACCGTGGGAGTCGACGGGCGCAGCGAAGAGGCTGGTGGTGATGATGCAGATATTGGACGACAGCCAGGGGTCTCTCGTTCCTGGTCTCCACTTCCCGTGGCTGCCGGCACGCAGCAAAGCAAAGGCAGCGAGATGGGTGGTGCCCCGAGGGATGGATGGGCGCCTCTCCTGCGTCAAGAGGGATGAGTAAGCAAGCCACCGACTTTTTCCACCACCCATGTCCGTTCAGGCCCATCCCCACCGCTTCCGCCTCGTCATGTCACATGACGGTAGTACACAATACTGGCAGCGGAGAGCCTGCCGCACCCAAAGCGGATCTCGAGCTGGGTCCGATAACGTCACTGGGTGGGCGACGAAGCTGCTGCACCGGATGGCTTGGGCCTCTTCGGACGACCTGGAAGCCCGGAATCGTCGTATCGTAAACCCCATGCGCGGGCATCTGCACTCCCTGCACGACGTATCTTCATGCAGCTTGCAAACGCCGCATGTTTTAGCACCCGGCTGATCAATTGAGCCCGTCTGAGCCGGTGAAAGGACGAAGCGGCGCTGCTCCCGCAACAGCTCTTCACATGAAGCGTCTGCTCATCCGTCAGACCATCAAAAGTCTCGCAAAACCTTTTTACCCACCTTCATTCGCCGCAACTCCAGCCTCCGCCGCCGCTGCATTTCCTGGATCCATCCCACCCCTGGGACGAATCTCGGCTGCCTCGACTTTCCATACCGCTTTTCCTCGCGCCAATCCATCCTGCGCAACGACCCCTCGCCAGCTGCAGCCTCGACTACCCTACGCCAGTTGCACCGACCGCAGTGCCCGCATCGACCTTCGACGCAGAGCTACCCAGCGACGAGCCATGTCTGACGCTGCATCCGCCGCGCAGCTCATTGAGTCTGCCAAGAAGCTTGCTGCCATTCGGGCGGTCGACGAGCACCTTCTCCCGTCCTACAAGTATGTTGGTATAGGGTCTGGCAGCACTGTCGTGTACGTGGTCGAGGCCATCGTCAGCAAGGGCCCGGCTTTTTACAGTGGCATGACATTTATCCCCACAGGCAGCCAGTCAAAGGGATTGATCAGAAACGCTGGGCTCACCCTGTGCAACCTGGACGAGCGGCCCGTCGTCAATGGTAGCCCGGTCGCCCTTGATGTCGCCTTTGACGGTGCCGACGAGGTGGACAGGGACCTCAACCTGATCAAGGGCGGGGGTGCCTGCCTCTTCCAAGAGAAGCTGGTAGCTATAGCGGCTCGGAAGTTCATCGCTGTGGCTGGTGCGTATCCGACGAGTCGTCCCTGACTGAACATAGCCTGATCCAAGCTCACCAAATCGGCGCAGACTCCCGCAAGCAATCCGACCGACTCTGCACCAAGTGGAAGGCCATCCCTATCGAGGTCCTGCCCTTGGCCGCTCCCAGCGTGCTCAACCGCCTTCACGCCATGGGCTCCCCTGAGGCCGCCGTGCGCTCCGGACTGCCCAGCAAGGCTGGAGAGTGCGTGACGGACAATGGCATGTGGATTATCGACGCCCCGTTTCAGCCACTCCTGCTGCCGAGCGAGCTGACCGCAGGCGTCGACGGTAAGGGTGCCAAGGGTGTCTGGGAAATCAACACTTTGGCGGCGGAGCTCCTCGCTATCCCGGGCATTGTGGAGATCGGACTCTTCCACGGCTTCAACGGTGAACAAGCCGTCGGCCTCGGCAAGGACCTCCAGGCACAAAAGCCAGTTGCCGCCTATTTTGGAATGCCTAACGGCCAGGTCGAGGTTCAGCGAGCATAGCGCCAGCAGCGCAAAAATAGAAGCTCCAGACCGGCCAATCCATTTGACGTGGTGCGCTGCGGGCTCTTCTTCTCGTCTCGCCAGGGACGCCCACTCATCTTCCATGCACGTATTCGTAGAAATTATTAAAATGCATATGCAGCGATAGCAGGCTCGTTGTCCTCACGGTATTATACAAGCCACATGCGCCTGACGTCCCCCTCCCCGCTATGCAGGATATCCTATCGTATGGGCTTCACTGCACCATTTCCACACGCTCCAATTGAGGAATCCTGGCCCATGTCTCAACGGTGGGTGACTCGCCCACCCGCGAAGCACATATCTTAACATGAGCAGCCTTCCTGCGCCGGCTGTGTCGTGTTCGTCTTGACATCAATCACTATCCAAGCGGTTAGGATACTTCTGCCAGCGCGTCAAAGCGGGCGGTCATCTTACTCTGGCTCGAGGCTTGAGCAGCCGCATCGGTGCCTTCCATGCCCGGAAGGGCCTGTGCTATCCTCTTGAACAAGTTCTTCACATTGTGGCCGAGCTTTGCGCTGGTCTCCATGAACATCAGGTTGTTCTTCTTGGCTTCGTCCTCGCCTTGCTGGGTCGTCACTTCACGCTTATCGTTCAGATCGGTCTTGTTGCCAACGAGGACGATGATGACGTCGTTTCCTCGCTCAGCCCGGACGTCGTCAATCCACTTTTTGGTGTTTTGGAACGACTTCGCATCTGTTCGCCAACCATCTGTCAGCACGACTGTGACATGGATAGCCGCCCAATATGGTGACAGTCGACGGGGAGGACAGACTGGATATGTCGTAGACAACTACCGCAACGCTCGAGTCGCGGATGTATGAGGGAATGAGGCTTCGGAACCTCTCCTGGCCTGCAGTATCCCATAATTGTAAACGGACCGTCCTGTCCTCGAGGTACATTGTCTGCATGCCCGTCAGCATGGTTCCTGCACACACTTTAGTCCGGCGACCGTCCTACCTTCGACAAGAAGTCGATGCCGATGGTGGCCTGGTACATGTTGTCGAACGAGTCGTACATGAACCTCGTGATTAGAGAAGTCTTTCCAACTGGAAGGGGTGCCTGTTAGCAGGAAGCCATAGCCGCTGGCCAAACAAAGGGGCCGCGGTGCCTCATACCACTCTGCTCCCCCAGAAACACCAGCCTAGTATCGTCATGTTAGCGCGGCGCGTCCCTCCAGCACCCGGGCCTTTGGACGGATCGCGTACTTGAATTTCTTCAAGGGGTTGTTGTAGGAACCACCGGCCTGCGCCATTTTGAAGGGTGTGGCCCAGCGCGGCTGGATACTGACGATGGTGACGAAGGAGAGATGTGGTCAATCGTGGTTGGGGGCCCAACAGCGGCGGGTGAGTGGGACGCCGACACAGGGGCAAACAGCTGCCAGTCCGGTGGACGCTCCGCCTCGTCTCTGCTGTCGGTCGCGTGCTGCAGGACAAGGGAAGTTGTTTCGCCGGCAAAGGTGGCAGCTCGAGTTTAAACGGTCGTGCCGTCGGTAGGGGGTTTGTCGCTTGCTGGAGGAGAGCCCGAAATGAGGTGGTATGGGTACAGCCTCGAGTTGCCTAGGTGGTAGCTTGACGGGGAGGTGTAGGCACGATGGATGCAGCGGGCTCCATGCGGGAGCGGCCAAACAGCTGCTGACTGTACCACCCGAGGCCGCACGTGGTGATAAGGAAACGGGGCTCAGCGCCTCACCGTTTTAGTCGAGAATGCTTGCTCCGTTCTTTACGCTGCGACCCATCTGCGGCCAAGCCTGGGGGCAAGACTGCGCTGCCCCGCTAAAAAATTGGTCGCCTCACCGCGACTGCGTGCAAGGCTTCGCCTGCCTACCCTGACTTTACGCTCTCCATAACCCGTTGCAAGAGTTCTCCTCGTCCCATTTTCAGGCCCGTCTCTGCCCCTAGAGTCGCGCCTCTGAAGCCATGCCAATTATCAAGGGACCCTCTTCGGGGTCGGCGGACGCGCCTCAACAGCACAGCCAGCCATCGCGCAAAGGCAAGAAGGCATGGAGGAAGAACGTCGACGTTACCGAAGTCCAGAAGGGTCTTGAGGACCTTAACGAGGAGATCATCCGCGGGTAAGCCCAACTCAATTGGTGAGGCCACGGCAGAAGCATCTTGCTCACAGATTTTCATAGTGGAGTTATCAAAGAGAAGCCTTCCTCGGAACTCTTCACCATCGACGTCGCTCGAGCCACCAAGGAGAACAATAAGCCCAAACATGGCAAGAAGCTGCTCAAGGCCGACGAGATCATTGCAAGGCGCTCTGCGGTACCGGCTGTGCCGATGCGCAAACGAGCTGGAGACAAGACGACTGATGGCCTGCTGCCCGCGAAGCGACAGCGCACCGACTGGGTGCCGCACAAGGAGCTCGCTCGCCTGCGAAAGGTTGCCGACGGGCAGCACGAAACCACTGTCGTGGCCAAGGACGCCACATACGACATCTGGGATGCGCCTTCGGAGCCCGTGACCGAAACAGTTCTCGATTTCCTGCCCGAGAAGCAAAAGGCCAAGCCCCCAAAGTCGATCCAGCAGGCACCACTGTCTTTGACTGCCACGGGCAAGCATGTCCCCGCCGTGCAAACCCCGAGTGGAGGGTACAGCTACAACCCTGCATTCACAGACTACGAAAATCGTCTTGCCGAGGAGAGCGCCAAGGCCCTTGAAGCTGAGAAGAAGCGGCTCGAGGCGGAGGAAGCCGAGCGGTTGAGGCAAGAAGCAGCAGCTCGGTCTGCTGCAGAGGCCGAGGCCGCCGAGGAGCGTGCCAACATGTCGGAATGGGAGGAAGATTCGGAGTGGGAGGGCTTCCAGAGCGGCGTCGACGACGACAAGCCGGCTCAGAAGCAGCCCAAACGGAAGACGCAAGCGCAAAGGAACCGCATCAAGCGAAGAAAGGAAGAGGAGCGTCTGGCCAAGCACAAAGCCGCGATGAAGGAGCGCCGGGTGCAGGAGCAGCGTATCAAGGCCATCGCCGAAGAGGTCGCAGAGCGGGAGCAACAAAGGGCCCTCGCCTTGGCTGAAGACTCGGATTCGGCGAGTGAGGTGACGGATGACAAGCTGCGAAGAAGGCAGCTTGGCAAGTTCAAGCTTCCTGAGAAGGACTTGGAGCTGGTCCTCCCGGATGAGCTGCAGGAATCGCTTCGGTTGCTCAAGCCAGAGGGCAACCTGCTCAAGGACAGGTACAGGAGCATGCTTGTGAGAGGCAAGGTGGAGAGCCGCAGGCACATTCCTTTCAAGAAGCAGGCCAGGAAGAAGCTCACGGAGAAGTGGACACACAAGGATTTTGTCTTATAGAGGCTGTCCGTTTCCATCGCCTGCGTTGTGTCTCGAAACATGAGAGACAAGTCGACCGGATGAGTCGTCCATACGTTGCCGTTTTGTCTGGTTGGAGCAATGAATTCGGGATATAATGTCATGCTTCTTACATCTACATTGCCGCAAGTGAGGCATCTAGCACTCATCTATGACAGCGCTCGAGCGGGTGAATCTCTGTCGACCATGCATTCCTGTCAGGTCCCCCCCGCCCCGAGAAACAAATATCTACTCAGAAGCTCATCAAGTCTGCACCAAGTGTTAGCCGTACGATCTCTGCTCGCGGTAGATTTTGTGTGAATCTGCTCTGCCACATACCTCGTCCAAACAGGCCTCTCTTGGCCCAATCCATGGCCATCAGCGATCGGGTCCGGAAGCTCACGCTCTGCGCAAAGTACACGGACCGCCAGGCATAGACTGCCCAAAGGCCACCAGCCACGCTCCATCCCTCGCCAAGGTCGAACACCGCAGAGTTTCCAATGTATGCTAGGCTGCCGAGATGATGATACTCGAAGGCCTTGTACACAGCCGCGTCCACGTCACCCTCACGGATGTCGTTGGCGGACAAGCCTTCCGACAGGCGGGCCAGCTTGTTGAACTTTTGCGCCAAGTAATGCCCTTGCTGATGGGCGCGCTGAGCCGTGGCCGGCAGGGACGTCAGCTTGCTGTCGATCTGCTTCAGCAGCTCGCGCAGCTCGCCAAAGTCGAGCGTGCCAGACTGATCCTTGTCGAACTCGGCAAAGAGCTTGTCCAGGCGCTTCAAATGGTTGACCGCCTGAGGAAACCGCTTCTTGACGTCTTGAGCGACCTGACGCCAGTCACTAAAGTGCAGCTGCAGAGTCTCGGGGTCTTTGCCTCGCTTCCAAGCAAGAGCTCGTAAGAAGGTGATGATGTGATCGGCGACATTGTTCTGAACTGTGGAGCAATCTCCAATGGCGTAGACATCGCCAAGAGGCGTGCCATTGAGGCGCAAGTGGGTGTCTGTTTCGAGGGCGTGGCGATTCGTTTGAAAGTCTCCCAGCTTCTGCGACAACTTCTGGCTGAGAGCAGTGGGCGAGACACCAGTGGACCACAGGCAGAAGCCGATTGGAAGCTCCTTGGTGACGAGGCTACCGTCCTCTTGCTTTTGCGTGAAAATGATCTTATCAGGCTGCACCTCCTTCACCCTCGAGTTGGTGAGGACCCCAACCTGATCACGAGCGAAGCGCTCCTCAGCGTACTTGGACACGGTCTCGTCATACGTGTTGAGGATGTGACTGCGACTCTGAATGAGGTGAACAGAAATCTCATTTCTCAGCAAGCGCGGGAAGTGGCGGGTCAGGTCTTCGTTGAGCAAGTCAAACAACTCGGCGGCAAACTCAACGCCCGTAGGACCACCGCCGCTGATGACAAATGAAAGGAGACGCCGACGTTCATCGTCGGGCGTCGTTGGGAGGCATGCAAGCTCGAGATTGTGTATGACTTTGTTGCGGATCTTGCGGGCGTCATCGATGTCCTTGAGGAAAAAGGCGTTCTCGAGCCCCTTGACCCCGTGAGGGTTTGTGACTGAACCGACGGCAATTACAAGTTTGTCGTAGGGCACGTAGAAGCGCACTTCCTTGCCCTGCGGATCTAACTGGGAGACCTCAACGAGCTTGTCGGAGAAGCTGATGTCTTCTGCCTTGGCGCGAACAAAGTGGCCGTGGACGCGACTCAGAATGCGGCGAATGGGTTCGACAAGAGACCGAAGCTCGAGCGTTCCTACCGTAGCCGAGGGCAGCATTGGTGTGAAGAGGAAGTAGTTGGCGGGCGATATGACGGTGACATGATAGTCGTCGGGGTTCAGCTCCTTGAGAAGGGCAACACCGCCCCAGCCGCCACCGAGCACGACGAGCTTGGGCTTGTCCTTGGTGCGCTTCTTCTCGTCGCAATCGTCGTCGTCGATGAAAACCTCGGCAATGGGTAGGTTCTTGGGTCCGCCGCGGCGCGGCTGAAGGGCCAGCTGGGAGACATCGATGTCGCTCTGGGTGGCATGCTCCTTATAGGTGCTCGCGTCGTAGAGGAAGAAGCCAAGAACGCCGACGCCGACGACGGTAATGGATATGCCGACCCAGGCGGCAGCCCTATAGCAGAAGTTGAGAATCCAGGAGTTGGCTTGCGGTAGCGGCTTGCCCGAGAAGATGGCGCGGGTTTGGCGACCGAAGAAGAGCGTGGGCGACGAGCGGGCGTGCGCCGGTCTTTGTAGCCTGGAGATTGCGCGGGCCTGAGCGAGCGGACTGCGCCGCAAGGCATCGAAGCGGCAGCTGCAGGCTCCGGGTCGATTCTTCGCAGCAAGGCGTAGCACCGTCGCCGGAGCTGGCCCCGTGGGCGGGCGCATGGCACGCTGCATGTGTCGCGCGGGAGACACGAGGGGGAGAGCTAGCTCAGCAATGCGACTCGTCGCAACGACATGCCCAGACGCGCTGCGCGATCGTAGGGTGCGTAGGCGGGATTGGCAGCGTATGTAGGCTCCCGTGAGCGTCTCGAGGCACAGCGATGGTGAGGAGAGGGAGAGGCGAAGAAGGAGGCCGGACAATCTAGAGCACCTCCGTGGTGCAGGAAGGAGTCGCTGGGGACGCGAGCGCGGCCTGGCAGGGACCGAGCCGCCGACCTGTGGCGTCATAGGCTTGTCGTGCGCGCCTCACCTCGCTGGCGAAATCCATGGATGTTCAGCCAGGCCCCCCTGGGTTCCCATCCGGGTTGGCTAGCGCCCGCTGCCGCCAGTGACAGCGCTGTGCCTTGGGCCTGAAGCTGCCCGGCCAGTGGCTCATTGCGGGCCCCAGGATGGAGTCCCTCGTTGGGAGCTTCCGACCGATCCGTCCGCAGTCCACACAACCATCCATGACGGAATCTGCAAGCCGCGAAAAGTGGACGCGGTTTCGCCCCTGTTGACCTCGCGTGCGTCTGTTGCCCAGTGCCTCCTGGTGTCGCTGCTCCGGTCCTGTAGGCGAGCTGCAGGCCTTCAACGTCGAGACGACACACATGAGCCCGTCGAGCTGGCCATCGTTTCTACTGTTGCACCCGTTGCCCCCCCACACACGAGGGTGCAGTTCCATGAGGGAGTATCGGCCCGTCTCGCCCTTGTCGTGTCCACCGCGAGCGCCCCCGGCTCGGGCCTGGCGGCGGTTGAAGAGCCCGGGCTGCCCGGGCTGCCCGGCCGCGACAATCGGTCTCCGGCACTCTGAGCCGACACCGGCGCCGAGCATACCCAGGTATCGTCACCGTCCCGCGCACTCGCCGTGTTCTGGCGCCGCATCGAGGGCTACAGCAACCCAATGTATTTCGCCCTTTATGCAAACGCCTCATATGCTGAGACAGACCGGCCATGTTCGCCCGCTGCATCTACGACTCAAGTCAAACAACCCACGCCTTCGCCATATCAGCACCGGAAATATCGCTTCTCGACCCATCTCTGCTCCTGGTCTCTCAACAGATTGCACACCACGACCGTGATTTCCGGAAACACGGTCATCAGGCGGTGTAGCCCCAGCCGCCCGGCAGAGTACGTGGCCAGAACAATCCTCTCCAGAGCCACTCCGTGATCGACCAGAACTTGCACCGCCATGAGCGCGGCACCACCGCTCGCCATCTGCGTATCCAAGAGCAGCACGCTCTCATGCTTGTGAATGTCGTCTGGCAATCGCAGGTAATGGAGTTCGGGCTCGCCGGTGGAGTAGTCTGACTGTATCAGAAGCCGCCCCGTTCGGCAGTCCGGGATCGTCTTTCGAAGGGCCGGCTCGAATGCTGAGCCACCCCGGAGCACAATTACAGCACTGACTTCACCCTTTGATTTCAGCCCTTGATACTTGTATCCTTGAGGGGTCTCGATTGTCGTTGCTGTGAATTGCACGTTGTTGAGCGCCCTGAGCAGATGGTCAGCGAACACTCGGCACGCGTGGCTTCGGCTTGGGAAACCCACTGCTCGACAATGAGAGCCGCCAGCCGATCAAAGTAGAAGATGAAATCCTCGGCAGACGTGTCAATGTCCTGGAGTATGGTGTTCATGAACTTGAGCTGCGGCGTTTCGCCAAGCACAACCACCCTGTCGCTGAGCGGCTGCTCTTTGCTCGCTGCTTCGAGCCGCGAAAGCTCTTCACGGTGATGGGTTGACTTTTCAAACAGCTTTCTCTCGATGAACTGAACCATCATGTCTATGCATTTGGCGTCAGAAACGGGGACGGGAGCGCCGAAGGCAGGTTCGGTAGCCAACTAACTCACCCAAAGCCACCCGGTTCTCGATACCTCGTGGTACAATCAAGTCCGCGACCTTCCTTTGAGGCTCGACGTACTATTCGTCTCGTAGTGTCAGCAATACCGTCAACGAGGAAAAGATGCTACATGAAAAACAGGTGGGGGCGGATCACGGGGTACCTTTTCGAAGTTTGGCTTCACAAAGCCGAACCACTGCTTGACACAGCCCTCAATGTCACGACCGCGTTCCCGGACGTCACGGACAACTTGAATAGAGATTTCAGCCAACGGTCACGATAGTAGTGCATCTGGAGTAAGCACTCACTTCTTCGCGCCAGGCATGTGTCTGCATCTGCTTCGCAATATATCTGTATGGTTGTTACTCCGCGAGCTCATTTGTGGCTACAGGAGGGTAGGCTTCGACTTACGCCCATGTCTAGAAGTTCAGTGACCCTGGGATCATACAAAGCAAAGATTCCCTCGAGTATGAGAACATGCGGCGAATAGATGGAGGTGGTGTGTTCCAATCGTTGATGCTTGGCGAAAGAGTAGACAGGAATCTCTGCCCGTTTCCTGTTACCCGCCAATTAGCCTCATGAACAGCGCTGTCGGGCGCGAATCGCAGATAGTACCCTGCCTTGAGGTCTCGCAGGCGTTCAACTAGGATGTCAAAGTCGATGGCCTTGATAGGCATGTGGTTAGTGATCGAAACTTGACGAGGCGCAGCGAGGCGTCCACAGGGAGGTAATACCTCCGGAGAGTCAAAGTCGTACTCGTTGGCGAAAGCCAACTTGGATTGCTCTGGGGTGAGCGTCTTGTAGAATGAGTCCTGAGGGACTCGACATTAGCCAGGTTTCCAAGAGCCTTGGAGACTACGCGGTGGTCTATACCATTGAAAGAATCACAACCCAAGGAAGATTGAGCTTCCTCACGATCGCCTGCGACAACGTCGACTTGCCGGATCCAGAGCTACCTGCCACGCCAATGATGCTGACGTCGGCCCATGGCGGGGAGTAGTATGCCCGTTTCTGGACCGTGACATGGCTCTCTAGCCCAGCCATTTCTCACTTGCCACGACGGACGGGCTCGTTGCTGAGTCCAACCCGGGCACGTGAAGAGCTTCGACCAGGCTTCTGACGCTCGCCTACGGATTCCGGACGGGGGCCTGTGAGCTTGAAAGGGGGAGATAAAGCCTCGCTGCGGAGGAAGGCTGTGAGTTGGCCTGACGCCCTGTTCGCCAGCGACCTCACGCACGTCTGTGGCTGGTGAGATGACAGGTCCAGGCCAGGTTCCGCGCCTGTCCTCGGTGGGTGACTCGGCCTCGGTGGCGCGGTTAGGTCCGGCGACAGCACGCAAGTAAAAGACAAGCACTGCTCAATGTTCGTGTAAGCGAGCACCAGGATCTTGCTGGAGGCTCCAGTCGGTCGACAGACAAGTCAAAGGTAATAACTGTGGCCAAGGGTCCAGCGAGGAACAACCTTAGACCAGCCCCGCCAGGGCGTCACGAACTCGTGGCTGAACCAATCACAGTCGATGCACCGGCTCCGCCACGCAGAAAGACGCCCTGGGCGCTTCGCGCGACACACCAGCAAAGAAAAGCCAGCGAGCGCGGAGTGTAATTCCAGTGCGTTGGATAGTTGGATCGATTCCCTTGCAAATTTGGGCACGGTGCAAGAGGGCAGCGGGTGCCGAGGCCAGGATGACGGCATGAGCGAGCAGATGGCAGGCGGCCTGCGGGCGCTGATATATTGGATGGCTGCCTCCCGTCATTGGCGTCGGCTGCAGTGCGCCGGCATGCACTGCTGGTCACCACCTCCGTGGTACTCCTACGAATACTTGGAAGGCAAAGCGCAGCGTGGCCCGAGTGTGCACAAACTGCATGTCCTGGGCAAGGCAGCCGAGCCGAGGTGGACGGCTGCGTGGAGGCGTTCCCAGGGCAACCCTGAGGAGGAGCGGCCGCCTTGCCTTTCGGGCAGGGCAGGTGGTATCGTCGCTTTCTCATTTTGGTAGAGAGCTCCAGCACGAGCTCCGTCATTGGAGATGCTCAAGCTGGTCGCTGAGATATTACCTACCTACGGAGGACATAATAGGAGGTGGATGCCCGGATGGATGCGCCCGGGCGCTGATGAGAGGGGCCCGCTTAGGGTACAGCACAGCGGCCACAGCAGCTTGGCCACGGGGAGCTAAGGTCAGGTAATCAGGCGCCGCGTTGTAGGTGGAGCTCCACAGACCAAACCCGGCCACCACCGCCCAGCTGCAAATTCGCCGCCAACCTTCTGCTCCTCTTCCTCCTCCAACATCCTCCTTTCCACACGTCCATCCACCTCAACGTCCCCCTTCCTTCGCATTGCTTCCACAAAGCGGCACGGCATCGTCTGTGGGCCATTCTATCACGAGCAAAGCTTCGCCGCTGCCTCTGCACGCGCGGGCTTTCGTGGTTCCACGGCTCGGCTCGCAAATGCGCTGAAACGCCCTCTTTCGGCTCTGCCCTCGGCTGCTGCTGCGCACGTCGAGGCCCTCCGACATCGACGCCGCTGCCACAGTCGCACCGTTGGATAAGGCCGCTGTCGGCTCCTTGCGGGAGCGCATCCCAACAGCATGGTACGCCGTGCAGGTCGCCTCGTGACGTCCAATCTGAGCTGCCGCTGACCGCTTGTGACTCCAGACTTCCACAGCCTCCACGGCTACCCCTGCCAAACATGCCTTCGAGAAGCGGGTCGACGAGGTCAAGTCACCTAAGAGGTATGCAATCTTGACTTGCGCTCCTCTTGCTTCTACCCTCTAGGGCAAAATGATGATTGCTATATCAATGGGAATCTCTCCTAGCTTTTCCATGCGGAGAAAACGATACACTTCTTCTTCTTTCCTGATCGCCCTTGCTCCATTCGTCGTTCCTACGCACTTCTCACCTTCTCCTGAATCCGGCTAACCCGGTACACAGTGATATCAACGCCCTCATCCTGGATTACTTGACAATGGAGGGTTATCCTAACGCGGCCGCCAAGTTTTCAAAGGAGGCAAACCTCCAACCCCAGCAGGACAGCGCATCCATTCGTGCCAGGCAAGAGATCCAGGCGTCTATACACAGTGGAGACATACAAGCTGCGATCGAGACGTTGAATGAGCTGGACCCTCAGGTATGGTTTTTTCCGTTTTCTGCCCCTGCATGTGGCCTCGACATTGCCCACTACACATCCCATGTCTTCATGATTAAAACAAGAGTTATACATGCACCACGCAAAGCGCCAGTTTACTGTCGTGTGCTGAGAAACACCACTTACTTATGATATTCATTCCATCTCTCTTCAAGCCTACTGCGGAACTCGTCATTGTTCGTATGAGATTTTCTGACTTGGCTTCTAGATATTGGACGACGACAAGGCTCTTCACTTCTCGTTGTTGCGCCTTCAACTGGTGGAGCTCATCCGGTCTTGCAATGCTTCGGGGGGTGATATTGGTCCTGCACTGAAGTTCGCCACAGAGCAGTTGGGGCCGCGAGCCCCGACAAACCCGAGATTCCTGGAGGACCTGGAAAGAACCATGGCTCTCCTTCTTTTCCCTCAGGATAATTTGGAACCCCAACTGGCCTCTCTCCTAAACCCAGATCTTCGCCGCGATGCTGCTGACAGCGTAAACCGAGCAATTCTGGAGCGACAGTCTGCCAGGCGGGAGGCCGCGATCCGTCATCTCGTCAAGATGCGGGCATGGGCGGAGAATACTGCTCGTGATAGAGGGTCAAGTCTTCCGGAATCCCTGGATATTGGCCTCAGGGGCGACGACCCGGACAGCAGCCAGACCCGGCGACTGCTCAATGCTGAAAATGGACATGAGCCCATGGTGACGAACTGAGTGTTTCTTGCGACTGGTCGCAACAGGAGTTTCTGGTTGATTGGGCGATTGGGCGTCTTTCTGCTTCCACGGGCTCCTTGATGATAACGACAAATAGCGGTAATGGGTAGCTCCCCGTCAGGGGCACGGCGTTGATGGGTTCTATCAAGACGGTTTATAGCGGGTTTCACCATGTATCATGAAATGTACGAGGCAAGACTAGACGCAATGCAAATAGCAATTGTTAATCGCTCGTTGAGAGGTGCATTTTCTATTATTACGCAACAAGGTGGTCCTCGTGGGCAGCGCTTTTCAACGTGCACTAGTATTTGGAGCAAAGGAAGCAATGAGTCATCTTCAGTGAATATATGTACAAAGCTAGGACTCCGTGTCCCCTCAATAGTCTATTTCGTCCGGATATGCTTCAGCTTCTTGGGGGAGTAAAGGAAGTTGTTCGCGTAGGCTTTGGGCGTGAACTTGCGAGAGTTGGGCTCTTGAACGAAGTACTCGTAGCCCTGCTTCTCGGCGAAGTGGATGGCGTCCTCCTTGGACTTGAAGTTGATGTGAGTCCCCTGCATGAAGTCGGCGGACGATTGCCATCCCATCAGCGGGTTCTCCCATCGGTGACCCTTCGGAAGAATGTCCCAGTCCATTCGCCAGCGCTCCCCCCTGAAGTCGCCGGATTGCGTCGCAGGCTTCGCTTCTTTGTAGATTCTGCGGGTCTGTCAGCAGAGGGAATGGCTCAAGGTCTTCGCTGGTACACACCGGACAGTCCGGGCCTGGAGCTCCATTGGGGCGCCAGAAATGACGGCTGCGGGGAAGATGTCCTCGCTCCCATCTTGAACTGCCTTCGGCACGGGAGAGAAAGTACTAGCAGCTGTGTCAGTCCGAATGCTCGCAATTGGGCCGTCGGGGGTTTCTGCGCATACGAAGTCGCCTTGTCTGCCGGGGCGTCGTAGTCGGGCTGGTTGACGCTGGGAACCGTGTTCGTGGTCGTGACCGCGCTCTGGAAGCGTCGAGCAGCCAGAGGCAGGCTCACACGCGCCGTCGTGGCACTGCGAAGCATCTTGCCGGCTCCCTGGATTCGCAGCGATGCCATGGCGATGGTGGACGTCTCTCAATTGACGATGATGGATTGCGCGCGCAGAGGGTTGTCCGAAGCCTCGAGAGGCAAATGGGTTGCTCCAACTGAGGTTGTGGTGGGGCATGCTGATTGGCTGTTGCGGAGCGACGTTTTGCCGAGACGAGTGCTTTTCGGCAAGACCCTCAGCATCTCGCCCATCAACAGATTGACCATTCAAAGCCTGCAATTGAGCGTCAGTTTGGACTCGACGGACCGGCAAAGCACGTCTCTGTTTTTACGGCATCTCCTCCCAACACACCGCCATCATGAGCTTCGTCACCCGTCGGGCACTCTCCACGCTCATTCCCCCCAAGGTGCGTTGTGCCTCCTCCCGTGACATCCCGAACCCTTCACCCGCGCGACTCGGCACGAAACTGACTGCCCTCATTATAGGTCGCCTCCCCCAAGGTATGTTTCGATGATGATGTTTCCTTTCGATCCTGGCATTGCGGTACCCGATGTCCGCAGACGCCGGGTAGTCCTGCTCAGCACACCCCGTTCGATGCGACCGCCGACCCGACCCGACAAGCCGGAGAGCGAGCGAACATTCGAGCTATATGAGTGGCAAGAGACTGACGATGATGTAGGCGATCGGCGGTGCCCCCGATGCTCTGCGCATGCAGCGCGTCGTCAGCTTCTACGAGAAGCTTCCCCGAGGTGCCGCTCCCGAGACCAAGTCCCGGGGCCTTCTCGGCTGGTACCAGGCCAAGTACTTCGGCAAGAAGACGTCCGTTCAGCGTACGTAATATCGTTCGTGTGCACATTTCTCGGATCAACACTGACGGTGGAACTCAGCTATCATCCACGCCCTCGTCTTCCTGGTTGGCATCGGCTACGCTCAGAACTACTACTACCACCTCCGTAAGTCATGCAGCTTCTTTGGGCGAAGCAACTCGAGTCTAACAATTGCTTCTTACGTTAGGCCACCACAAGAACAATGCCCACTAAATGGTGGGAGGCTCATGCTGCTGTCATGTCAGATGACGGCTGCTGGTTGTGTAAATAGGTAGACTCATGCTGGTGCTCTCTCGCGCGCCACGAGAATTCCCTTTGTACTCATAAATCGAAACCCATCGACACTTGAGTCATGCTCCTTGGACTGTTGGGACATGTATCATGGGCTAGTGCTACCCTTCGTGACAACTCTTCTTGCGTACAACGACCTGGTGACTTGGAAGCAATGAAGAATGCATTTATGGATGGCAAGCACCTCCAGCGGAGGCGACCTCGGTCAAAAGCAACCTCTAAATGGAGGCCCCATGCCTTTTTGTTTCTGAACTTGAACTTGAACTTGAACTTGACTGAAGGAAGTCCATCTGTTCAGTCTCGGCCAGAGCCTCTGACTTGGCGCCCGTCACAGAGTACTTGTGTCGTAGTGGCCCGAAGGCAACCTTGGAACTGTGTTTTGTCCAACGAGGGACGCGACGTCGGAAAAGGACCGCCCGACTGGCGGTAAGCTGGCTTGTAAACAGTTCGAACAGCGAGAAGGATCTGACGTTGGCTGGCCTGTGTGATCTTCCCCTACAATACGAAGGTGGCTGCAGGGTAAACAGGCGATGGGGGAGACGAATGCAGGTACAGACGAGTACGGCGACCTGAGCCAGCTCCAGTGAGGTGCTGCCCAGTGGGCTTGCCCGGCTCTGGTACGCCAGGTCCAGCTGTGACCCCGGGTCCCCAGCACGCCCAAGGCTAGGTACCTACTGGGTAGCGCCGCCGTGCCCTGAATCGCTGCCACCAAGCCACCACCTGGACACCTCAGCAGCGCCATGGCGCGCCCGCCACACACACCTGGCTGGGCACCTACCTGAAGCCCCCCCCGGCGACCGGGCTGTAATGGTGGAGGTGCCTACGTTGGTAGTTTCAACTGCGTAAGGAACCTGGAAGGTAGTTACCAGGTTGCCCGACAATGGGCACCCGGGCGGGTGCCCGAGCCCACCTGGAACATGGACCCCAGCGCCGCCCACAGCACCGCTGCCTTACAAGTCCCAGTGGAGGTTACAGGCGGCGAGCCCCACCCACTGGCACACGCGCACTATGCCGCAACCAGTCGCCTGCAGCTCCCGAAAAGCAGAGCGCCTGTCCCAACTCACCACCATTTGCAGCCGCATCAAACCAGCTTTTGATCTTGACACTCCTCCAACCCAAACTGCCGACCCACGATCACGCATCGCGACCGGGCCCCGCAACCCCCAAACCATCCAGACGACGCTTCTGTTCGGGAGGCCGGAATAGTGGCCGCGAGTCAGAGATTGGCGGCGAGCCTCAGCACTGCCTGCGCCGTTTTGACGTGCGCGACAGCTTCCGCGACGAGTCACGACCTCCGAATCACCTCAGCCCCCTCGAATCTTGCCAGCTGTTAGCTACGGGTTGCGTTGCGACGGTCGCCACAGCACTCCACTACCCGCAAGCGATACGAGAGGACGCTCGGTGCCTCCTTGGCCTCTTCGTTTCCGACGTCACTGTTTGAAGGTCGCCTAGCTCGCCCTGGGACGAGACAGGTCCAAAGGTGACTTTGGCAACGTCATCATCGCACTGCGAACGGCGCACGCCAGCCACGATCAACCGGATGATGGCAACTGAGTCCCCTGTCGCAAAGCCTGCTGATGTACCAGTCGCACCCGAGCCCCGGCCCGTGAGTAGATCCCCTACCCGCCTGTTCCCGATTTGATACGCCATACCCCAGCGAGTGACCTCAAGCGGGTTTGCAAACACGGAACGCGACAAGAACCACGATATGCTAACACAAGAATCACCGCCGATCAACCAGGCCGATCAAGCCCAGCATGTCGCTTCCGAGCAATCAGATGTAAACGGCGGCCTCTCCGTCAGCGTCGACGATATCGAGAACAAGCGCATCACCATCGTCGAAGAGCAGTCCAACTCCGCCGACGTCAGTGTCAGCGGAGGGTCAGATACCGAGACGTCGCGCACGGACGGTGCCAGGCAGAAGGATGGGGACAAGAACCATGGTCGAACCAGCTCCCTGGCTAGGAAGCCGGCTACCTTCAAGGCGGTGTCCGTCAACAAGACGTTCCTCGCCGCCAAGGCCAGCCCTGGCGGCGGCTCTCCGAAGACGAGTGAGCGGCCAACGCCAAGCTCAAGTACGCCGCCACCCGGTTTGCCAACGCTATCGACATCCCGCCCCCGACTTGTTGCGAAGACTGGAAGCGGTGCCCGAGACTCAACACCTCGTTTCTCTTCCGCGGTGAACGGTGCGAAGCCAGCGACTGCACCGGACCCGAGCGTTGTCTGGAACAAGAATCGGCGTATGCACACCTCCAAGCATCCTGTTCGAACATCCGCGAGGCAAGATACTAACTTTCCTTTATTAGCACCGGAGCCGAAAAAGTTCACAGATGAAGAGCTCAAAAAGTATGGGATTCACATGGCTAGTCGCCTGAATGAAGACGATGCTCAAGGTCAGAATAAATGGGCGGACATTGACGACGATGACGACGATTGGGCACCGGAGGCCATCACCTGGGGCGACGGAACCAAGACTACGCTCCCACATCCTGACGAAGCAGCCACCGTGGTTTCTGACAATGGATCAGTCGGCTCCAAAGGGAAGGGCATGGAGAAACCTAAGTCTCCTGCTCCCATGGGACTCGGCGGCCCGACATTTACCAAATCCAGCAGCCTTGCCTCCGGAAAGGGCCTCGTGCTAAAGCCTGCCTCGCAAGAGAAGCCTGCCTTGGTCGCGAAGCCACCAGCTCCCCCAACCCCGGCAAAGTCGCCGTGGGCCACATTGCCACCAGTCGACAGAGCCTCGCCAGCCTCCGCAGAGGTCCTGCGAACTCAGACGAACCCCCCCTCGTTCAAAGGCGCCACCAAGGAGATTGCCGCCGACGAATTTGGTCGGTCGTCTTGGAGAGACGGGGGTTCTCACGGAAATAGGGAGCTCTACAACTCTCATTCAGGACGCTACGAACCTGTGTTTGACCGACGTGGTTCCATGCGGTCCGATACGCACCCCAAACATCCTGCCCTGCTGCAACGTCCACAGCCGGCGGACCAACCCGCTGAACCATCCAGCGCTTTCCAGACCAGTCGCATCTCCCAAGATGCCCCATTCGGACGACGTCGTGGATCTTCCAACGTCAGTGGCGGTAGCGGGTCCTTCATTCAGAGACTGGGCAAGGGAAGCGACGGCGCCGTGCAGCCTCCATCGGAATTCCTGAGCGCTCGACGCCCGTCCTTGGCAGGCTCTGGCGATAGTCCTATCTCGCCTGTCGCTGGCCATGCGCAACCCCGACAACAACCGCAGCCAGGATGGCTGCCCAGATCTTCACCCGGAACGACCTTTGCTGCGCCGCATGATGGACCTCTGCCGGCCGAACCAAACGTGGTCTCGCCCGCGCCTGTCCAGCCGGTCGAAGACGAGGTTGAGTACCAGAAGAAGCTAATGCGGGAGCGGGTGGAGCTCGCAAGAAAGCGCCGTCAAGAACAGGAAGCCCGCGAGGAGGCCGAGAGAAGAGAGCGCATCCAGAAAAAGCTGGAGGCTTTGGGACCGCTTCCAGACAAGAAGAGTGACAAGAAGGAGGCTGCTGCAAAGGACGAGGCCGTAAAGCCAAAACATATTCAACAGCGAGAACAGCCAGAAGCGTCGCGGGCACCAGAACCAGCTCCGGCACAAGATTCCCACCCCGATGCCGAGGCAACGACCGCCAGCACTCGCGATGGCCATGGCCCCAATCCGAAGGATCTCTCTCCGAAGGGCGGCCACCCACCTGGACCGGCTACCAGACGATTCTCCCACGGACAGGAAGGGAAGCGCCTTGACTTGTGGGCCGGCTCAGGGCCTCGACCAGACAGGTTCTCCTCTTGGGCTGGGGGAGCGCCGCCGCCATCACGCAATGTCTGGGGCTCTCCAGACAACGACAGGGGCCTTGGCAATGGGACATTTAACCCGGATCTAGGTCGAATCCCTGGGACGGCTGTAGCACCTCCGGCAAGCCATAAGGGCCCAACTCCCATTGCTCCCCCAAGCACAGGTCGCCCGCCTACTCAGCCACCGGCGCCCATAGGTTCCTCAAGCTCGCGACATGGCCCACTGAACTCGGATCTCGCCCAAAAATGGGTCGCAGCCGTTGCAGAGAACGACAAGTCGATGAGTGCCGCGCGTCTGGCGGAAAGGGTTGGTCGAGAACGTCAGCTAGCGGAACAAGGGCTGTCGGTTGATGATGCGCAGCCAACGATCAAAGACACCTGGCGACCTGTGCAGCTGCCTGGAGACGGAACGCGCAGAACCACCGGGACAGTCGAAGTCCACTCTCACGGATCTGGCTCTTGGAAGGCGACCCAGCCGAAAGGACCCAAGGCACATGCTGCGGAAGATGTGATTCCATCTTCAACCCCCGGGGTGATTGGTTCCGGCAGCAACTCGATCCTCTCCCAAGCTGGGTCCGGTACCCCATCTCAGTCGCGTGCATCCAGGTTCTTCCCTGCCAGCAAGGGCTCCCGGCAGGAAACGGGCTCTGGCGTGCAATCGTCACGTCCAACCTCGCCTTCGCCGCCCCCACCCACTATGGAGGGACACCCGGCGTATGAGGGTGACGTATTGCACCCGCATGTTTCTCTTCCAAGACCTCAGCCAGTGGTGAAACTGCCACCCTCCATGTTGGCCTCTCATGCACCGCAGCATCCAAGCCAGCCTGCTTGGACAGCTCGCGTGCCAGGCAAGGATCACCCGCGAGGACCCTTGGGCCAAGGCCACAGCTCCCATCGGGAGAGCGACAGCTCTCAAGGTTCTTGGCAGGACAGGATCAATAACCTTCTCAATGGAGGAAAGACGTCGCCTCCCAAACATATAGGGGTGGACCCGGCAAGTAGGAGCATGCTGGACCACGTGGTTCACACCGATTCCGCCACAGTATCTTTGCCGAGTATAACCACGACTGTGGGAGGCGAAAGTGAGACCCAGCGGCGTCTCCTTTCGAAGCCCATGGCGGAAGAGTGTTTTGAGGAGCAGGAGATGGGATCTCTGCCTCAGATCCGGCTCCCGCACGTTGCGCCCGAGGCGGCGTGGCAGCCTGCCATGGTTCAAGCAAAGCCATTGCCCAAGAGATTTCTGGTGCAGGCGTCCATCATGGAGCCTTACTATTTCGCCGCTGATGTGGTGGGGGGCGGCAACGCACTGAAGATTCAGTTCCCCGGCATGACAGAGGCGAAGATCGCCACGATACCATTTTCAGCGACTCGGGGTCATCGAGGCGGACATGGGCGGCCCACGCCGCGACATCGCGGCTCTGGCGGTGGCCCGCGTGGCCCGAAGAGAGAGCCGTCGAGCTCGTACAACGCAGGAGAGCCCAGCTCCGGCGGCACAAGCCGGGGCGGGACGCGCGGTAGCCATCGCAGCCGTGGCGGCGACAGCTGGAACCGACAGTCGGCTTCTTCGACGCCGTCACCAGCGCAGCCCAAGGCTCAGACCTCGGCGTCCACTTAATAACCTTTGCGCCTGGACACAGGTGCTTGATATGGGTCTCGCAACAGCTTGTACCGTCGCAGCGCTCTATCGGCGGCCAGCGTGGCATGGCCTTCATACCGAGTCGAGCGTCACTTTTCTTGTAGCTGGTGCTGGGGGGTCTACCGGGGGTCGCTTTGCGCATTGGATGTGTTGGAGCTTGTCGTCTCGCTGAGGCTCGAGACGGCGTGTACAACTTGTTTTAGGGCGCGGCGGGTGCATACCCGCAAAGACGTATCTGGCATCGACGAGTGCTTCCGCGGTTGATTTTGTTTCACAGACGTCGACTTCTGTGTGTTCTTGGCCGTAACGATGGTGTGATGATAGCCTAGGACAGACATCGACAACGGGATTCTTGTGTTGCTAATGACGTTTGCTGCTTCGCGTGTTGCCCTGATGGGTTCGCTCCGCCTGTGCCTGGCCATAAACGAGCCCAACGGCCAAGGGGTGCCCGGTCCGTCATCATGGACAACACTGTTGGTAAACATAACGGCTGCTCCGTTGTCTATGACACTGTCTTGGTTCGATAGCTGCCTATCCCTTCCATGGGCTCAATTTTGTTTACAACACATCAATTGTGCGACTGGCTCTCTATGGCCGTCTTTGTTAGATACAGTCCTCGATGCGACATGTGGGCAACCTCTTCGGCCTCCCAACAACTCCTTACTCCCCCGTGTAATCGGAAATATTCCCATCCCTGGGCATGCGAAAGCACCTGCCTTGCCTGCCGTTCATTATGCACACAAACGTAAACTCATTGCTGAAGCCGACCGGCCGGCTACTCCACTCGCAGCGATGCGCTGCCGTCTCAGAATTCCTCAACCGCGCAGTTGGGGTGCAGTACGTATACAACACCTGCGGAAGTCGCCGAGACCGCCTCGCCGTCCACGAGACCTTCGCCTCTGAGGGCCATGAGAATGTTGTCCTGTTCCACCGGGGTTAGTCCTGCGTTCATGCCTTCGAGGCCACGAGCGTGGCGGCGGGAATGCACATACCTTGACCATTTTCTTGAGCACGGTGCTGGCGAGTGCCTTCTCTGCGTGGTAGCTGTCCTCGCCGTCGAGCTCCTCCTCCTGCTGCTCCAAATACCAGTTGATGAGGGTCTCGCCCTCGACTCCGTCGCCGCTCCCGCTCTCGTCGTCGCTGATGCGCTGCACGAACATGTTGACCATCTTGATATACTTTTCGTACGAGATGGTGTGTTTTCTCCTGGCGTCAGACGAGGCCTGACCGGGGTCGGCTCCCATCGGAGAGTCACCTTCGCCATCCCTCCCAGACGCGGCATCTGCGGCCTGGCGGAGCGTGGTGCCGTCCTCTTGCGTCTCCTCTTCGTCGAGGACCTCCACGTCGTCGTGCTCAACGGAAATGATACTCTGACGAAGCAGGTCGTAGGCTTCGACAACCATCTCTGGCGAAATCTCCTCGACGCAGTTGACCTTGGCAATGGCCTCACTCAACCGGATCATACTCTCCAGCTGTCTCACGGTGATGCGGTACGAGTTCTTGCCAACGCCACCCTGCGCATCATCGGCTCGTAGCTCCTTGTACTTCTCCACAAGCACCTCCTTCGCCTCGTCCGTGAATTCAGGTCGGAACGTCCTGGCAAAGCGGATGTACCGCTGCAGTTGCTCTGTGCTGAACTCAGGCTCGACCGCTTCGTCCCGCAGTTGGTGGATGCCCACGATGTGTTCCGCCAAGTGACGGTCGATCTGCTCGTTGCACTCGTCGAGAATAACGAAGAAGAGATCAAAACGGGACATGATGGGCGCAGACATGTTGATGTTGCTCCGCAGGGTCGCCTTGCGGTTGTAGCGACCCCCGACAGGGTTGGCAGCGGCAAGAATGCTGGTGCGAGCATTCAACGTTGCCTGGATGCCCGCCTTGGCAATGGAAATGGTCTGCTGCTCCATGGCCTCGTGGATGGCGACCTGGTCGGCAATGTCCATCTTATCGAATTCGTCAATGGCGCAAATGCCGTTGTCCGCGAGCATGAGGGCTCCGGCTTCAATCGTAAACTCTCCCGTCTCCTCGTCCTTGACCACGGCGGCAGTGAGACCGGCCGCAGAGGAGGCCTTGCCACTCGTGTATACAGCTCTCGGGGCGAACGAGCAGACGTACTTGAGAAATTGTGACTTGGAAGTAGAGGGGTCGCCAACAATGCAGATGTTGATATCGCCTCGAAGCTGCATGCCCTCGGCCGTCGACTTGTGCACACCAGACATGAGCTGGAGGAGGATGCCCTTCTTGACCACCTCATGGCCGTACACCATGGGCGCAATAGACTGCACCATGCGAGAGTAGATGTGATCGCCGTGTACCATGGCTCGCAGGTCCTCAATCTCTGAAGGGTTCATCGACGCGAGAACAGCAGCCTGGGCCTCCTCAACCGACTCAGCACCGTCTGAGGCGTTATTTTGCGTCAGAGCATTAATCACATCGGCGGCTCCGCTGGCTGCAGACTGTCCAGTCGCCGTGGTGTCGGTGACAACCATGCAAGCAAGGAATGCCAGGCGGTACGTCAGATCACGAACACCGAGCGCCTTGAGACCGCTTATACCACTTCCGCCGGCATCAGCCCCTCGAGGTGCTCCGCGGTCGTCTCGGACGGCGGTCGGCCGCAGTCCCGGTAGGCCGAGCTGGCTAACGTCTGGAACGACAATCAGAGCGCCCGTGAAGATGCATTTCTCGCCGGCCTTGGCCCGATCGACAATCTCGCCGCGCATAATAACATCGAGGGTTCTCGGCATGCTACCAGTGGGTATCTCTGAGCTGTTTTCCTGAATGCGAACCTTTTGCCAATCGACGAAGGTACTGTGACGGATATCGAGCCGCCACCCGACGCGATTGGAGCACGTGTCGTTGGGGCATTGCGTCGGCTCCGTGTAGCGAAAGGTCTGCTCGACGTTGGGGACGACGGCGCGGCATGCCTCGCAAATGAAGGTGGCCAGGGACAGCTCGGGGCGCACTTCCGATGTTCGTGTGACGGTGCCAGAGATGGAGAGGAGCTGGCCAATGTTGGCGGCTCGCAGACTGCGGACACGGGAGACAAGGGGTAGGTTGTAGAAGGCGATAGAGAAGAGCTTGTCTGTCTGCTGGTGCTCGTTCTTGCGGTGTGAGGGGTCGCTCTGGCTGCCAGAGCCCATGTGGCTCGCTGCCGACGTCGCCAAGTTACTCGAGGCTGTCGGCTGGCGATGTTCGCGGAAGTATTGGGGCTCGTACTTGGCGATCATGTTGTGAAGGGCCGCAGTGAGGAACGGCAGGAATCGGTAGTATTGGCGCATGACACCGTCAGCCAGGCTCCCGTTCTCCCAAGACGCTAGATGGCGGTAGTCGACGTAGAATGTTGAGAGCTGGTAATTGCGCATGCCCTTGATCTGAGCGACGTAGTATTTGTCGGTTGTGACAGCGCTCGAAGGCGGCGCGCCGGATGAGAGAGGGTCTTCGACGAAGCTGACCGACCGCAGGTTAGATCAGACAAGCCACGATAGGGAGATGCGGCGGCTCACCTCTCAATGAAGGCCTCAAAGTGTTCCTGGACAAGAGACCCGATTCTGTCCTCGACACGGGAGACGGTTGCGGCTTTGGCGCCACGCGAGCTACGGGGCACCTGGTCGTCGGCGAAGCCATCCCCTTCGTCGTCGCTGGCGGCTCCAAGATTCTCGGACGGCGGGCCTCGGGGGCGCGCTGAGGAAGACGACGGGAAGCCGAGCGGCCGTTTCTGGGCCGCAGCCAGCGACGGCGCATCCGACATCATGTAGCCGGCTTCGCTCGAGGCAGCCATGGCTGGATTGTTGGCTTGGTCTCAGATGCTGGGCTGCTCAGTGGTGGTGAAGCCGGAACAAGACACACGGAGAGGACAATGCCGGAGCTGGGAGGTGCCTGTCCGAGTAACTCTGAGCACGAACGTTGTCAAAGGGTGGTAGAAATGGCGATGGATTCGGCAGAGTTTGGTGGGGGGTCGTCGCGACGGAGTTTGAGGATGCAAGAAACGCACAAGGGAGAGGATCTGGGCAAGAAACGCGTTGGGCACGCGCTAGACGCGCTTCGAGGGGTCGGGCGACGCGCGTGTTTAATTGATTGCATGATGGTGGGGTAACCAGCAGCAGCATAAGCACTTGCATAAGCTGCATAACTACCTGCACAGATGAGTACATACACATGCGTATGTACGAACACAGTATATCTGCCTTGCTGGACGAGGGCTTGCATCAACTACAGATGCAATACTTGGTGCTCGGAGTACATATTATTGGATTATTTCGTCCTTTTACATACACCTAGCCTGTTCTAGCGAGCGGCCGCAGGCAACGTGATCTGGAGCGATTGCACTGTTGTCGAGGCACGGCACGGAGCCGAAGACGTCCCCGGGTCGCCGTGCTACATGTGTTGCGACCAGAGTACAGCATTGCCGCGTCCAAGGGACCAGCCCCGTGGATGATGCTGGGTAACGGAG